CACTTATTAGACATGTATAGGATCTAACATTTGGCTCCAGCCCAGTAGCTTCCATCTCTAGAAGCAGTTTCTCAACAATTTCAGGTTGCATTCTTCTACTATAGGCATCCCACCTCACCTTTCCTAAACAAGTTCTTGTTTTCGAAGTGAGCAATGGCACCTTGTCCTTTCTTGTTCACTTCCAACTCTTTCAAATGCTCAAAGCTGCATAATTTTGATATTTCTTCAATCATTCCACATTTTTCCTATAACTTAATCAATGACATAATTAACTCAAAGAGTTATAAATCAATCAAATCATTCAATTAAAATGCCTACAAGTGGAAGAAAACTCTAGTTTACCAAAATATATGCTAAAAGGTATTCAATTTATGATTAAATCCATAATTCCGAAACAACAGGAACATACAAAACTCAAGCACTACCAAAATCATATGCTAAAGGATCAAGCACACTCAATTTTAGATTGAATCCATAATTCCTAATAGACCAGGAAATGTAGATCTGACTCCGAAATGTAGAACAGGGATAAACTAGAGTGTGAATGGAAACCGAAAATGAATCAATTGAATAACAAAAACTGAAATAATTCAACAATGAGCAGTAAATAAGAATCAAAACAAAAAATCTGAATACACACCTTCGTCGTCGCGATCGTCGTCTTTCTTGACGAGAGGTTGAGCCATTTTACAGAGATCTGTGAGGTAAGGTATAATAAACTAAGAAGAATTTGCAGATCCCTGCTGTGGATTTCGGTTTGAAAAATTCGCAATGACCTCTTATATATCTATAGCAAGTAGACTCGACTGCAGATCAGAGAGGTCCCAATCTAATGTATTCACTATGGCAAAACACATTGATTTCAACCAGGTTGTGCCTGATTTCGGAATTGTGGCAACAATTATATCACTGTCTTTTGCTTTATAGTGATATTGAACAGAAATTATGGTCTGAATCAAAACACAATCCATTCTTGATGACCCAACAGTGTAGTTGCTGCTCTAGAAACAACCACCCCAATTCAGAACAAGCTGACAAAACACTAATGAATGTAAACCGGTATGGTGTAAACCCAGTCAATACCATATCCATAAACAACTCAATTGCATCCCCCGATACCCCAATTGGGAACACTTCATAATCAATGTCCACAAAACAAAATTTTTCTCTTGCATTTCATCAAATACTTTTTTTGCTAACCCCGAATCACAAAACCCCTTTGCAAATAAATCAACCAAATTCAATTCAATCACAGACTCACGGTAAAATATTAAACAACAGGGATGAGGGAACAGGTTGTGTGTCGTCAGTCGTGACTGTGTCAGTGTAAAACAAAATACAGTAAATACTTACAGATAATCACGAATTCATGCTTCAATGTCTCACGGTTTTCTCGTGCCGCTTGTATTTTGCTGGAGGACGAACTGCGGAGGTTGAGTCACGATTTTCTCTCTCACAGTCGGAGTCGTTGGGCCTTCCAATTTCCACTGCGACGGGCGCACAGGCGGCACAGCTACAGCAGCCTGATCCGGCCCTGGGCGTTGGGAATTTGGAAGTCGACCGGCGTTGGAAATGTCTCTTGCAGAGGCTGGGAGATGTGGGTTTAGGGGGAGAAATGAAAATGAACAAGGTTGGGGAACTGGAACAGTGAGAGAGAGGTTGAAAATGGGGCGTTTTCCGTATTTTGTAAAAACACGGTGTTTTGGACTAAAAAATACAAAACGGAGTTTTTATTGTTTTCCGTTTTGTGTTCAAATTTTTTTTCTGTTTTCAAAAATTCGTTTTGGGAAACGGGAAAGAGAACGAGTTTTCAACGTTTTGAAAAATCGAAAACAGAAAACGGCCTGAAAACACCAAAGAGAACAGACCCTTATGCTCCGATGTTTTAATCTCATATTGAGACCTATTTTTGGCATGGAAAGTGATCGAATTGAATAATGATATATGAATCAAAGTTGTAGCCGGATGAGTTAGCTTTCCAATACATTTTGAATCGCCTCAATCGGATATCGGAATACAAAATTATGATAAAAACACTGAAAGAAGGTGTAGTTGCCTATTTAAAACAAGAAATTCCGTTACATAGTCCGTTAAACCAACAAATTCCGTTAGTTTTTCCGTTAAAAACAAGAAATTCCGTTACATAGCCACTTTTAATATATAGAAGAAAATAGAGAAAAATGAGTGATAGCTAAATGGATAATACGTGTGTCTCTTGAAATATGTAACTAAAAATGAAGTTTGATCAGTCATAAATTTTGATAAAATTAAGTTGTAGAAAAAATATTTATAAGTAATAAAAAAATTTAACTAAAAAGATTAAAACTAGTTAGAAGTAAAAAAATACATACAAGTAATAAACTTCACGTATAAGTTAAATTTACTTTTTAAGTTAAAATATCACTTATTATATGTGATGGAAACAACTTATAAGTAAAAGTTGTTTATAAATAAAAAATCTTTTTATAAGCCAATGATTCACCCGTAGGTAAAAAATAATTCATAAGTAAAAATTTATGGTTGAAAATGAGTAGACGAATGAGAATGAGAATGAAAATAAGAATATGACTCAAACAGACCCTAAGTAAAAAAAATTGCTTATAAGGAACGATATTGTCATAGTTTTATATTTTTCATTGCCGGTCTCCAGATATAGTACATCACCAAACGCGTATTTGAATAACATTACCCTTGATTCACATCAATAATACCCTTAATTATATCGAATAATGCTCTCTATCTAAACTCTGCTAGTCCAGGTAAAAATTAAGTGATTTCAATTGAAATTTCATATTAAAGATATGGACACGAGTTTCATTTATAACGAGAAATCAACGAATACTATGTAATTGTTATCTAGACCCGCAATCATGATAAATATAGATGAATAGAATTACTCAATTCCATCTTCTCTAGTCATCTCCTAATTCTATCCCTTACTTCATTATACCAAACGTGCCATCGAGATAAAAGTAAATATATGCGACAAATGTGCTCAAACATTGAATCAAGTTCAATTTTCAATTAGAAATTAACAGCTTCAACGACAAACGTGTAACGTTGTATATGTTCATTTTAAACAGTGATAGAACATTTTTTTAGGATTTATGTTTTATGTATATTCGTCAAAGGACGACATCGAAACGACATCATTTGTAATAACATATTTATTAATTGATTTCACAATTTATTTGATATGTGAAAAATATTAATAACTTCAAATAGTTTCTATATATGGTGGATTTTTTTATTAATAATGTAATGATTTTTAAAACATAATATAATTAATTTTTTTCTACATCAGAACCGTGTCTCTTCACTAAATAAATTATAAGAAAATATATAACTATTTTAAACTATGAAATTTAGTCCCTCGATAGAGATTTTTTTAAAATTGATTTTTTGGACATTGTGT